GTTGCACTTTATTCACTTTCTCTTTTGTGGATTTGTCAATTGCCTTAACAAAGATAGTTTTGCTAGAACTTTGTTTATCAAATTTAGAATAACCAAATCCACTTTTGTCATTGGAATATTTATGTTCACTAAGAACACCATCCAATCCAATTTGTCCTTTTTCATAGCTTTCAAGAACTCTTTTTAATTGGACAATTTGGAAAGAAAGCGACTCACACTTTTTGCATGTAAAATCATGTTTTTGTATTTCAAATTCAAAGTCTTTTGGTGTCAATCTTTTCTTTGAGAGATGAAATTTGTTTCTTTTGTACTGACATCGTTTGTACATAATTTTACATTCATTTATTAGTTCATCTATTACTCCTTGAGCATCATTATCATAAGAAGAAATTTCATTATTGACCTCTTCATCTTCATCATTGGAATTGTGTGATACCATTAATGCAAGATGTTCATATTCTTCACTTTTTGAATCGAGTGACAAACCAGCTTCATTGTCATCCTATGCAATGTATGCCTTTTTGGACTTTGACTTTTTTTAAATCTTTGAAACCACTCTTCTTGGTGAGTTTTGTGAATTCATATTTATGTGTCCTTACTTTCCACATTCATAGAAAGTAACATTTTGTGTTGACGTAGATGCTTCCTTTTCCTGAAAAATTTCTTTCTTTTTGCAAAGTTCAAAGATTTAATATTATTACAACAAAAAAATTACCAAGCCTTTTCACAATGAGCATGAAGTTTTCATCTTCTTCTTATTCTTTCTTTGAGTCAAATTTCAAAGCAATGTCTTTGGATTTCTTCTCTTGAATCTCATGATTTTATAGTCTCCTAAGTTCAATTTCATGCTCTTGAAGTTTTTCAAACAAGGATGCATATGTCATGGTAGAAAGAATCTTCTTTTTTAGATATTGATGTCACCTTTGGTTTCTATTCTCTGGTTAAAGACCTAAATACTTTAAGATTAAGTTCATCATAAAAGTCTTACCGAAAGCAATCAAGTGATTGATCAAGTGTACAAATCTCTTTTGCAATGCAAGGATTGATTCTTAGGATTGTATTTAGAATAAATCATACTCTTGACTCAAAGTATTTAATCTTGATCTCTTTACTTCATTGGTTCCTTCATGAGTTTCCACTAATGTATGTCATATTTGTTTTGTCGCAGTATATTGAGAGACACGAAATAATTCATCCAGGCTAAGTTTACTTTGAAGTAAGTTGATTATTTTCTTGTCATAGAGAATATTTTTCTTATCATCTTCATCCCATGAACTTTTTATCTTTGTCGTCCCAACATTGTTAACAACTGACCAGAAAAATAGCAAGTGTACTATTTTCGCCAATTGTAGTTAAAATAGGGGTTTATCCCCAGTATCGATCTCGAGGACTGCGTATGAATATAAGTTCTAGTAATAATTCAATTAAACAAAAAGCACTTGGGGTTTAGGATTGTTTGGTGAAGTTATAAACAAACAGTAACAGATATGAGAAGCATGCTAGGGCACAGTGTATGAATTACATTGCAACAACCTTAATCCTTATTTATAAGACATGGCTTAAAACAAACCTTTACCGATTCTCAAGTGTATTTTTTTCTAAGGCCTTAGGAAGAAAAACCTTTGATATTCATCGTAAACCTTAAGTCTTTAGAGATTTAGGATGAAATCAAGCATTATATTTTATCAAGAATGTTACGGTTACTACAAGATATCCCTAGTCCTAGGTGATATCTACTATAGTATTATCACATAAAAAGTGTTAACAATGGTTTGTCTGACCTAAAAGTTAACCGTAAATTAATTTTTATTTGTACGATAGAAAAAACATTAAACACATTGTACAATAAAAATGATTATGAAAAAACACTTATGTCATTGAACAAAGGAAATCAAGGTCATTACAAAAGCAATTCAGGGACACCCCCTAGCATTGAGGGATTTAGTTACTCATAATATTCAAAGTAAATTCAACAATTAGATTAAACATTATAAGAATTTTGGATTACTTTGATTTTCAATTGCTCCCGCGCATGAAAATCTTCAATTCTCCCTTTTCTCTTGATCGCTCAATTCTTGATCGTGATTTTGCTCTCCAGTAAAAAAAGTCTCTTTTTCTCTTTCCAAACTCGTCTGAAATAGTCACAAGTCCAATATATCAGTGGAAAAATACTCTCACAGATCCCCTAAGTGAAAAATTTAAGAAAATTAGAAGATGAAGCGCCTCAGTCAACACGGACCGTGTCAGCTGACACGGGCGGCCGTGTTGGCCCCCTGTTCCTCTACAACCACCTTATCATGTTCCAGGCTTGCTGACAAGGGCCGTGTCAGCCCCTTGGGTTCTCACATTTCTTGCTTCCTTTTGGCCTCTTTCTGACACGATCCGTGTCAGGTGACACGAGTGGCTATATCAGGCCCTCTGCTTTCTTCCAAAATCTCTTCTGAAATCTCGAATTTTTCACTTTCTCACTCTGATTCTTCCTGGATGCTTACCTGAATCTAAACACATTGGAAAGACACAACCACAACATAAAATGCGTCTTCGTGCAATTTTGTACAACATCCCATATTTTTTCTCCTTGTGCTTCTAAATGAGCCTTCGTGCAAATTTTCTAAAAATCAAAGTATTCACCACAAAACAATGGAGGCTTATTATTGCTATCACCGTCTCTAAAAACTGAATTTGCAGAAGTCATTCTGGATCTTATAGGAACACATTACCTTAACCTGCTCTGATGACAATTGTAAGAATAGAGTGAACCTAAGAGGAGGGATGAATTAGGTATTTTAAAATTTTGTGGATTTTAAAGGAGTGTTTCTTTATTTTACTGGTTTGATGTATAGTTAGGAAAGTAGTAAATGTGGAAAAATAAAGAACACATAAGGTTTATAGTAGTTTCCCTCACAGTCTGAGAGTACATTTAGTCTCATTACCACAGCGTAAGAGATTTTGCTATGGTCAAAACTTTGTACAACCATATACATAAGCTTTTAACCAAATTAACAAGGCAAACCACCTTGTGATTTTACAACATAAAAAAAATAAAACAATCCTTTCTTTTTCCACTATCTTGTTTCAAGCAATACTGGATAACAAGGTACTGATACAAGTATATGAATTTTTTATAAATGAAAATTTGAAGCAGTAGGATAAAATAAATCATAACTTGTAGAATTTCTTCTCTTTCAATCAATATGATATATCACAAAAATATTTCTAAGTTCTCAAAAACTTTTCATGTTATTTGATTTATGAAATAATGCACAAGTTCTTGATGCTTGAAAGTTTTTCTGATGTTGTGAAATATAGTGAGATATTTTAGGAAGAGATTTTGAAAGAGGTGAATTGATCAAATAAAATACATCTCTTTTTATATTGTCCTTCACACCCTTTTGAATCAAGACATAACTCTTGATGATTCATGAGAAGATGTGAAATTGTTATGAAAAACTATAATGAATGAACCATGAAGTGATGCATTTAATGAAAATATTTTTCAAAATTTTCAAGGCGACAATCAATTGTAGGGGGTAGGCAGTTGATTGCACCCTTTTGCACGTTAAAAAAAATGAAATAAAAGACTATGTCAATCGATTGTAAGGCCATGCAATCGATTGATGCAAATAAAAAATATCCAAAAATAAATGGTGGCAATTGATTGTCATGGCCTTGCAATTAATTGCTTGGTTTGAGATTTGTTTTTTTTTTTCAAAAGTTATGCAAAAAAATTCTAAGTTTAAAATATGCAATGACATGATTTTTTTTATGAAAATGTCATGGATTAGTTTTAGATGTTTAACCACTTAAAATATATAATCATGATATAGTATATTTTACCATCTTTGCTTGATCATCCATAACTTAATTATTTTTAAGAAGTTTTTTTATTCTTTATCACTAGGTCGTGTCTTTACCATCTTGATTGTCTTCATCAAAACATCTTTATTGAAAACTTGAATTTACATGCGATGTCTTCTTCCTTTCTCTTATGTTCCTTCTTGTGCGGATGAGATTTTTTGAAGTTAATTAGATTTTTGTCTAAATGCTTGAGATTATGCTTCCTCGTATATTGATTGTCATTTTCGACGAATAAACTCATCTCTTCTTTTTTGAAGAGTCTTCGTCAGAACTATCATCTTCGTCCTTATTTTTCTTTGTCCTTGACGACTAATCTTTTAAGGATAGATCTCGCTTTTTTTCTTTGACCTATTTTTGAGTAACTAGTCGATACTTCTTCATACATATTTTGAATAACTCGAATATATGTAATCCTAACATCTTCTTTGCGGTTTTCCACAAAATCTCTCTAGGCACTCTATCATTACGCTTTCTTCAAGTCAATAAAAATTAAGTTCAAGTCTTGTCGGTTCATCCGATTTTGCTTCATCACACGTCATAATAGATAGATCATTTTCATGGTCGACCTCTTAGACATAAAACCAAATTAATTCTCAATGACTTGAGCTTTTTTTTTTTAAATTTTCGTTCCATCACTTTTTCCCATAATTTCATGATATGACTCGTAAACTTAATCCCCTTATAATTTGCTCAATTGAATATCCACTTTGTTCTTATAGATTGAAATTAAAGTGTTTCTTCTCTATTCATTCAATATTTTCTTTGATCTCATAATTTCATTAAAGAGTTTGGTAAATCACTCAATACCGCCATCTCTAAAAAAAATTCACATCTCAATAAGTATGTTGTCTGGTCTTGTGTAAAAAAAAAGGCTTGAAGAAAGCTTGCTGTTGGCATTTATTTCATTTATGAACACAAACTGAGCTGAGAAACTGTATTCACGCACATTTACTTCAAGAGTATCCTTATATATATAAAGCATAAGAAGAGAAGTGATTCCCAACAATTTCTACAGTAAGAAACTCACTAATCTTGACTATATCTTATTTCCTCTTCTAGCTACCAAAAATCACAAAAGAATAATGAATTTTCGCTCGGGACAATGATTCATATCTAATACATATAGATTACACGAATATCATTCATCTCTTGAACACCATCTTGCCATGCTCATCCTTCTCAAAAAGACGCTCAATCAATACATCCCAGCTTTCGCCAGCCTTACTCTTATTGGTTGAACTAACAGAAAATTCGGCCTCTGACTTTCTCGAACTCTCCTCTCCCTCATCATCAAAAGTTCCGTATTGTGATGGTGGATTAAAAGCATGTGGAACATGTAACGTTTTCGCCCTTTGTAATGCTGCTTTGTACTCTTGGCTGTGTCTGGCCATTGTTTCCTGGCGCTCCATGATTTGCTTCGCAGGTGCTTCCATGGTATTATCTTTTTCCAGCATCAACTGCAATTGGCAAAGATGTCGTCAAAATATTAAATAGAGTGCCAAATTAGTCGAATTTGATTGACTACTTACATTCAAAGCCCTTTGAGCTTCTTTCTCGATCCAAATAATGGCATGATCTGATGTAGCATTGCAAGATAGAACTATATGCTCAAACCTTCCATCTACTGGCACTGCTGTTTTCACAACTGGAGGAAACCTTCCGCATCTGCATAGAAACGATGTTAAAAAATGAAAAGACAAACGAAAAAAGGCTGTACAAACTTATTTTTGAAAGTAACCGTATAAACAAATGCTAGAAAATCAAACGGATAGATTGTGTTTAAACTGTGTTTTTACGGTGACATTTCTGCATAAGCTCTTTGTGGAATTCTTAGCAATACCTGAAAGGCTTTCTCTCAACAATGTGATAAAGTCGACCAGGTGCATAGAGTCTCCTTGGATCTTTCAGCATCTTCTCCTCCGATATACATGTATCCCTCATGCACTTCAAGCACAACAAGCACGGCAAACTACCAATCCGAGAAAAAGTAGTGAAATTACATTTACAACGACAATCATTTCTGTTTTCGCTTAACTGTTGACATCTTCTCAAACGTAAACATATTAGAACAAATGCACTAGTCTTATATAACAAGAATGATAATAACAAAGTTAGTAGTAAATGGGATGCTGTAACATACCATAACAAAGACTTGAATATATCTTCCAATGGGGTGGCTGTCCGTGGTAAGAAGTCATCCTGACCAAGGAAAAGGGACGATAAATTAAAAAACGAACGAAAGTAGCACACTCTACAAACAAATGCTCTAATTTAACATTCATCGCGTTCTACTACATGCAAAAATATTAAGAGGAATGCCAAAGATTCTTCAAGTAAGCGAATAAGATCATGATAACTTGCCTGAAGTACGACGGAGTTTATGATATCTGCATATCTGACAGCCAAATTAAGCGACATACACCTAGCGGGAGCAATAGCATAACACCTAACCCTCTTCCTCTCTATGTTTCCAAGTCTATCCCGATTCTGCACAACCACCATGCTCAACATCGCAGCCACTCCTGATCCAAGGGAATGTCCAGCAAAAGTAAGAGTGTAATCCGGATACTTCTCCACCAATTCCCTCAAAATATCACACTCAGCATCCAAAACCATCCCAGCAGCTTTTAACAATCCATTATGAACATATCCACCATCAAACTTTCTCTTCCCCAATTTATTATCCAACAGAACCGCATAGTCACTTTCCTTCGCCAAGTTCAGTCCCCTTATAGCAAGAACTATATCCGCATGATCATGATCAAGATACAATATATACGGCGGAGCCCTCCCGTGTGTATCTTTATACGTCTTTCTAATTAATACCCAATCAGGGTTAATTCCATACCCACCAGAAGGTGCCCAAAGAGGGTTTCGAAGATTGTCTTCATACACAGATAAAATATATCGACAAAGACGCGGCACAGGCTCAAATTCTTCCGTCGTAGCAACTCCCCACGTTTGACTGTCATGGCCTGCAGTATGAAGACATCTCTTCCACGCCCAACGAGCACAAGCTAGACAATACACACACTCAACAAGAGGCAAGCCACAGCAAATTGACATTGTGTCTACAACCTAAGCATACACAGCACTTTCTAAAATCAAATTGGTTTTCCACCAAATGTTCAAGTTGAAATGCAAATAGAAATCTCACAATAGTACTACTATTCTTAACTTCCTCGTAATAATCACCGTAGAAGTTGATTCGTTCCACACTCAAACAAAACAAGTAAAGTACATAACTAAGGGACTATAGAGATTGTACAATCTGAAATAATACAAACAAAAAAAAGGTCAAATCTGAATTTGATGAATATCAAAATTGGAAACAGAGATGGCTTACAGGGACCCAGAAACTCAAAGAATGAAACTTGATAACTTCATCCAAAAACGGTGGCTTTGATCAGAAATCCGAAATTGGAGAAACGTGGGTGTTTCTGAAAGTAGTGCATAGAAAACAAAAGCATCAAAATTTTGGGTTTTTCTCACATATATGAACCATTTTGTGCAAGTTGATTAGAGATCTTGTGTAATGGAGATACATCCAGATTGAGCTTGAAGGAGAGAGGTCAATGGGAGGGTGATAGGCAATGCGCACCATAGTTATAATCATATGTTTTTTTTTAATGTTTAACCAAATCAGAAATTAACACAACTACCCAATAAGATTATTTTGTGTCATATAATATTAGTTGTATTTTGACCGTTAGATATCTATTATAGAGATAATAAATAGATAGAAAAGAATGGAGGGTTAACTCAATTATGCATATAAACTAGTATTAATGTATTGCTCTTGTTATAAATTTAAAATGAAGAATAATTACAGTATAATATTAATTAAATAATAGAATTAAGGGAAAAATAGTTAAATGTATTAGAAATAGAAAATAACTATTTTTTATAACAAATTTCTATTGCAAATAAAAAATTCTATTACAAATAAAGTAAGACAATTACTATAAAACAAATAAATAAATAATAATCAAAAGCATATCATATATTTTGATTCGATTTGCATGTGTTTTGGTGTTGATTGAGTAGATTTTGTTATGTTATGCTAGTTTTTTGTCTTATGTTTTAGGTAATAATCAAACAATGATGTCGGCAAGAAACGGAAAAAATGCAGAAAATCACATGTTTCATGTTGTCATGACGGGTGCGCCCATGTCATGATGGTCGTCATAACGTTCCAATGTTCATGTCGTCAACTGGACGCATGAAAAACAGATGGTCGTTAAGTAAAGTGTCATGATGTGCGAGTCGTCAACTTGGTGGTGCCTGTCATGGCCCTACAATCTCCGTTCTTTCTTAGTGCGTCTAGACGGACAGGTCGTCATGAGCATGATGTCCGTCATGACACACAGTCCTAGAAAAACTGTCCATGAAATAGCAGATAGTTTTCCACTTCTCAACCATTATCTCCATTACTTTGGCACAATTTATTCATTTCTAGTGTGAATCTCAACCTATAAATAGGTACTTAGAGATGAGATTTTGAGATCCGATTTTAATTAGAGCATATATTTTACTTGTAAAAAGCAATAACTTCTCACATTAAGTGATTATTGCAACTTTAGTTTCTAAGTTTGAAGTACTTTAGTTTAATTTCCAACAACTATTTCCTACGTTTTTACTGCATTATTTTAAACTTTCTGCACTTTATTTCAAGTCCAAGCTGTATCGAATCAAAAGTCTCCCTTCGAAGCATTAATCTATTCAAGTTTTCATTATTCATGCAACTTTTGAGTTATGTTTATATGTTGCATTTTATTATGTTTACCATGAATAATTGCTTTTTATTTACTGCTCTTAACATGTTTGAGTAGATTTAGTGAGTATGGAACACGAGGATCGTCTTATTGACGAGACTCATAAACTACACGATTAATAAATTGTAATGGAAATGATTTTTTATTTCTAAAAATTATGTTTTTAAATTAAAGATTGTTTGTTACGAAAGTAAAAATTCGTAAGAAAGAATAAAATTAGAATCTATCAAGAGAATATTTAGAATTTTTAAAATTTTTGTGTCGAATTTTTTGCTTGTAAAACTCACAGTTCTACTACAAAAGTAAAGACGCTGCAATACTGTTTACGACTCGAAAGAGCAAAAATGCTATTAGGCTTAGAAAATTCTTATAATTAATTATTAAACATGCAAAAGTGATTTTTAATTAATTATGAAATCACTACATTCAACGGGATTATAAACTTGTAATTTGTACCACGCTAAAACAGACGATTACAAGTCTAAAATCTGGTAACAGACACACGAAAGAGGATGGTACCTTTAACTAATTTTTATGCAAAAATAAAATATTTTTCTTGTTATAATAAAAAGCTGCAAATTTATAAGAGTAACACAGGTAGATGAAAATCATGTTTCGGCCTTGTTATTAAAATTGAATTAATTTCGTAATTTTCAATATTCTCGCAAAAGAAACCTTAGATAAACAAAGTGATAACAGAAAACGGTACTTGTCAATTAATTTCTATGGAATTCAACATCTTTTATACTAAAACCGATAAAGCCATGCACTTGCAGTCGCATCACCTACCGCTTGCTCCAATTGAATTCATCCATGCTTATGTTATAAGTTAACGTGAATCTAATACTAATTTGATTTAAAAAAATTTGTGTGTGTGTGTGTGGGACACCTATTTGTAGGCATGACAAATAAATTTGGCTCCGCTAGGCCCCGGTCACCCCTGTCGCTACTGCGAAAATCGGCGCCGGCTGAACAGAAGAGTCGCCACCGCGCGTTATTTATCCCACGGGAGGGAAAGGAAACGCTCAGAGTAAACCTCGCACAACACGGGAAAGGTATGGTCGTCGCAACCAAAACCTGGATTCGGGAGTCGGTTACGCAAGGGGAAGGTATTAGCACCCCTCACGTCCGTCGTACTCGACGGGATCCACGCTTGTTTTCGGATATGGATTGTTATTCTATCTACTCTACAGGTCAGGGGTTAAAAGAAAATAAAATGAAAAATAAAAAATAAAAATGACTCGGCAAAGTATCGCACTTTATGCCTACGTATTCCCGCCTGGAACGAGAAATCAGAGTCAACGTAGTTCGCCTACCTACGGGAAATGAGGGGAAGGTTGCTCGCTAGGATATCGCATCCTATGCCTACGTACTTTCATACAGCATGAAAGATCAGAGCAAACGTAGTTCGGGCCACGTACGACACAAGCTTGTCTTGATTGTTTTTATTCCTTCTGAAAAAGGTTTTCCTGATTAAAAGTCCAAGCGGACAAAAATGACGTATTGATGAGTTCACATTCTTTTACGGAAGAAGTGTCTTTTATTGTGTTTGAAATCTTTATGTGTTTTTTCTGTTTGTTTTGAGAAAGAAAGAGACAGAATTCTAACCTACGGTTGCGAAGGGAAACAAACTAACCTAATGTTATCATGCATGGGTTAAGACCTAGTGTCTATCATGCTCCTCTCTTGCACAGAGAGAAACAGAGATCCTAAGGGATAGGCAGAAACAGAAACAAAACCAGATATATACAGTAAAATAGTAAAATGCATGGATGCAACAGTACAAGCGAGGCAAGGGAGTCCCACTCAACCTCGAACCTGGAAAACAATAGGCGAAAGTGAACAGGCTTCACTTTCAACCCAGCAGGGTAAACAACAAACAATACAGTTCAGAAAACCAATCAATACATCAGCAAAAGAAATACAACAGCAAAAGAAACAGCATCAGCAGCTCTGAATCAACATCTGGCTTCAAGTAATCTCCAATCAGTTACAGGCTTCAACAAGCATCAATCTCCAGCTTCGTGGCCTTCAGGCAAGGGCTTTGATCATCAGTCTTCCATCTGCCATGGCTTTTCTTCAGGTTCAAACCTCCAGGATGAGGGATCAGTCACAAGAGTGAAGTGAATAAATGTTAGACAGTTAATTACCTACCAAGGGTGGTTCATCAACTGTTAACATTAAACAGAAGGTCTCCTCTCAAAAGTTCTATCTTTCAAATATATTCACTGATCCTTCCAAAGGAAGGAGGTGGATATTTGAAAGAGACTTTGAATCATAGAGAAAGGATGGATGCAGACAAGGCATTCCATGTTTGAGAAACAAGCTTTCTAATCTAGAGCTCTGCCTAGCTCCTAGACCCTAGTCTCCTCAGCAGCTGCTAGCAAGAACCTCCTCTCCAACTCTGGCAGTTGATCTTCAATCTCTGGATCTCCAATGGTCTTCATCTCCTCAAGTCTTCAGCTCTCCCAAGGCCCCAGACAATCCCAATACCCAAGCAAGCAAGCAAAAATCCCCAGAGGGCACACCACACCAGTCAATCAGATATACAGACAGTATCAATAGCAGTAGGGGAATCCTGACTTTTCTAAGGGGATCTAATAACTACCCATAGCCCCTATAGTCCCATAGCTAAACTATTCAAACCCTAAGTCCTAAGGGAAAGAATCAAACTTCTTAAGTCATCACCTGAAAAACCCTAATTTGTTCATGTTGTTTAAGTCTACATTAATCACCTAAAATTAATTCCTAAAAATGGGAGCTAAATTGAATCTACAAGTTCAATATCTAATCTAAACAACATAAAAAGAATGAACAAAAAATATGAAAGCATTTAATAGAACAAAAATTGCTAAAATCATGCATGAAATGAAGCCATTTAAAATGACATTTATTTAGAAAATATGGAAAAAATATCAAATCAAAATAAAAATGCAATTTTATTTTTTTATAATTTTCTACACATCCTAAAGAAAATAGTGTAAAAAGAATGAATTGAAAATGATTTTTTATGTATTTATTATGAATTAATGAAATGAATGAAAAATTAAAATGAATAAAAAAACAATTGAATTAAAATGAGAGAGGGGGGTTAGAATATCAATTCGCTCCAGTTCAAGTCAGGATGGGCCAAGCAGGGTGGGGTGCGCGTAGCACTTTGCTTAAGGCCCAGAAACACTCAGCAATAACGAAAATAAAAAGAGGCGCAGGGGGGTGAAAATAGAAGGGTTTCCACGTTCAAAATGCAATTGGGCTTACAACTGGGTGGTGGGATTAGCAATCAACATTCAG